AAACAAAAACAAAAACAAAAACAAAATCAAAAACAAAAACAAAATCGTCTGTAAAAGCAAGTTGTGGTTTTATCAAGATATAAAGTCTTATAACATGTTTCAGCTCTTTATACTAAGCTAACTTCCTGCTGGCAGTAGGGCTGCCGCGATTAGTCGCCGTAATCGACGACGTCGACGATGAATCGTTTCTCATACATACATTGATTTATTTGTGGCGGTCAGTCACTATTAACCGCCATATATTTATTCTCTATTTGTCTTTTATGGTCAAACTGATTCTCTGTCCTCCAGCCTGCTCTCTGGGAGAGGCGGGGCTGCAGGTAAACAGCGCGCACGCACACGGAGCAAACGGCACGGCAGAGGCTGCGCGAGACAGAACCAGGTGAAGGCAACTATCACTGAACTTTACGTTACCGTAAATGCAATAAAACGTAAAAGGCCAATAAGAACTTTATTAAAATAACTGTTCGACAAGCAACAAACAGAAAAGAGAAATTTCATGTTTCTCCCACGGACTCCTGGTGTCTTTTACACAACATCGCGCTGACGAAAGCTGTCCTTATGTGAGTCTCACTAATTATCTTAGTTTACCACAAATCCTAAAACGTGGCAGATTGTTGTAAACTGAGAAACCAGAACAATCAATTCAAATCCTGTTCTGAATTTACTCTTTTCAAAAACAACAACAACAACTACAACAACAACAAAAAACAACAACAGTAATCTTCTGAGCTGGATCACAAGGTGTATGGATAAGATAAAGATAAGATCCGCTTGTTAGTGTCTGACTTGAGCACATCACTGTTCAAATCCCTTCACCATAAGTCTTGTTTAACAAATGTTATTTTGTGGCGCACAGTGAGATCAGTCACAAACGTTAAGGATTACTTCATGTGTAAGTGTTGTTTATTCATTAGTAGACAGAGCTTTTTAATATCTTTGGTCTTTGTAGCTGATGCTTACTCTGATAAAGTCGTAAAGTTGTCTGCTGCTGCCTGAGTATTTACACTGAATAAGTGTTTGAGAAAATGTTTAACCCCTGAATCTGGGTTTATTGCTCGTGTCAGAGTGTCATTTAGATTCTCTGGAGGAAAATTAATCGTATTATAATAGTAGATAGATTAATCGTTAGAAAAATAGTTGTTAGTGGCAGCCCTAGCTGACAGTAGCTTCATATTTATCATATTTGTCTAATGCTGTGACAGTGGGAAATTGACAAGTTTGTACTGATAATGTAAGTGTGACAGAAAGTAGTTTAGCAAATGCAGGGACCCTCTTAAAGCTCCTATTGTACATTACATCTTCTCTGGAAAAATAAGGTTATACCAGAACTTTCTCTGGAAGTGAAAACTGGCTCTCTCACTCTTTCCAAAAGCACAGTCATGTTATTTAAAAGAAAAAGCTCTTCTATCATCTCGATAAGGCATGGGGGTGCTGTTGATGACTGAGGAAAAACAATTATCATACAGTCCCACACCTCAAATTAAATACATGCACTCATATCACATGGATTTGCAAATGTAATCTGCATTGATTTGGCAAGTTATTCTATTAAGCTGCGGGGACATGAGCCTGGTAATTGCTTTCTCTCTCTTAAACACACACACACACACACACCCACGGACACACACAGACACAGTATGTAAGCTATACACTTGGGGTGCATGTATAAGCAGTGTCTAAATGGTTTTCCGACAGCTTACTGGGTGGGGAGCATTTATCGCTGCTTAGTGTGGAAAGAATACCCGACTCGTGTGGAGACCATTCATCCATAACTGCCTGATTCAGTCAGACTGAGAGTGACTGAATAACCCAGACACTAATTCTCTGAGGAGATGAATAATAATTCAATGTGGTAAAGGTAGTCGCTGGGCAACGATGAATGAATGAATACAAAAGGTGTTCGTCAAGTGATGACTGAATAAAATCAGGGGTGGTAATCAAGTTTGTTTGAGGATGAAGGAATGACTAAGCTGCTTTTTTTGTCAGGTGATGAGTGAAAGTATTTGACTCAATTTATCAAAGGAAAGGGAAGGTAGCATTAGCAATAATTAACTGTGCAATATATCGCGATAAAGTGCACATGCTGTAGCTACACACAGTGATTCCCGCGTTATACAAATGCAGTATTGTTTGTTACATAGTTTGTGCTTAGTCCTATTTGTTTGGTGTGTTAGAAGACTAATATACTAAATTAACATGTTGCAGGAGTGCAACCAATGATTATTGGAAGTACAGTTTAAGATATTTATTTATTTATTTATATTAATTGGGAACCCTTAAATCCATATAGTGTCTTAAAATGCTCATCACAACATCCAAAAGCTTAAAATGTTTTACCTTTTCAGATGAGGATGGGAACTCTTCACCGAAGTTGTACTAGCAGCAGAAGTCTCATCTTGCAGCTCATTATTCACACTGACCAGCGACTTTTATACCTTGAAAGTTGACTGCCGGCCCTCCCTCTCTGGTCTCAGATCATGCTTCCAGTTTGTCTTCTTTGCTGCAAAACACGGAAATGATTCTTTATTTTGGTTCATTGTGCTCACCCAATTAGAAGCAAAGCAAGTCTCTCAGCCAAAACCCGCAGATGTTTAGTTATGGTAACCTCTTATGCATAAGCTCTATTCTCTCTAAACATCCTGTTTGCAAGAATCTCTAGATCAGAGGATGTTGAGACCAATATTTAACCTACTCTCACAAGTGCGAGGCTGGGCTTTCGCTCAAAGGCCAGGAATTTGGAATGGGAATTTGGGGTAATGAAGACAAACCAATATTCCATCTTTCTCAGGGCACTTGATGTTGACCCCAATTAAGTTTGGGAGGTGACTGTACAAGACAGAGGTAAAATACCCCAGTCATCATGTTATGCACCTACTGGACCACCTACACAAAATACACACAATGTACTCATTGTTCATTTTCAGGACCTGCCGTTGTTATAGTTCCAGTTATGCTGTAATATTAGCTCTTTTCTTACTCCTTGTTACTACTGGAGCATATTCCTACAAGAATTTACATTACATCATAACCCACAAAAAATTTGAAAAGCATTGTAGGATATTTTGAACTGTAAAATTACAGCGTGAGGCTGAGACACAGCCCACATTTTCTTATCTTTTCTTTCTGTGTGGAGTCCCACTCATGGGCGAGGAGGGTCTCTTTAAGAGGAAGGGTATAAATACACCGGCAAGCTCTGGGACGCCCTCACCTTTCCCTCATGGGAAATTCATTGTTACACAAAAATATTTCAGAAAGGATATTGTAATTTATTAAAACATTATCTAAAAGATGATCTTATACACACTATTAACAAAGATGTAGATGAGTGGGCAATGGCATGGCACTCATTACATTCAGCTAGAGGAGGGAAAAATGTTAACGGAATAAATAAAAACTCACTCCCATGCTTCTTTGGCCACATTTCTTTTCAGTTGAACATTTTTTCGTTTGCCATTCTTAATATGATTAGATCCTTGTTTTTTCCACAGTTCCTCAAATGATCAAGTCAAATAAAAACTGGAATTACAGCCTCAAGGTTGTATCCCTCCGCCAACCAGCCAAGTTTCAGGAAATATGGTCACAATCACCCCTTCCTGAGTTACAGCATTGAATAATGGCCAGAAGTGTTTTTGCAGAACATTATGATGTCACAGTGGAAATGGCCTTTAACCATTTGGAAATAAAATGTAATGAGTTCATTTTATCTTACAGACATTCGATTTAAATTGTGTCATAATTAGAGTATGAATTTGTGAGTTATGGCCACAAACGTGTTTTGTGAGGTCACAGTGTGCCACAAGTAATGAAATTTCCTCTGGGTGTTCCTGATATGTCGCATTCACAAGAACGTGAGATCCCCGTGACCTTGAACTTTGACCTTTGTCCACTAAAATCTTAATATGTTAAGTTTATCTTTGAGTCCAAGTGAATGTTTGCACTGTGGTTTTGAGATAGAACATTCCATCGGCCAAAACCGTGTTTTATGAGATCATTGCAACCTTGACCTTTGACCCCCAAAATCTAATGTAACTCATTAAGCCTACTTGTTCTTTGGAAATAACTGCACAGAACTAACATTTGTAGGTATGTGGCATTTCTTCCATTCTGGACTCAAGTGCTGTACTTTTCTGGGAGTGTGGTTTGTAAACCTGCGTTGATGCAGGCTTAGTGTTGGAGGGCTTTAAGGCTCTTTTATGCTCTACGTCAGATATGCATACGGATACGGACGGAGCCTTCTGTCTGTACTCTGCGTTCATTTCGTGCGTATTTCTGCACGTGTCCTGGAAGCTTACGGATACGAACCAAACGTAGCAGTACCACCGGAAACTGTGGGGGCAGTGTCAAGCAGTGTAGCCCACAGTTCATCAATCACAACTTCACAATCAAAACTAGTTTATTATTAGAATGAATATACTAAAGCCAGCTGGAATTAAATAATAGTCAACTGTTTAACAGCTGTTTAGCTGTTAAACAGTGTTTATGGAAAGCTCTGATTACAGCCTGCAGTTTTTTCAAGCCTTATTCACTCATCTGTAACTGCCACTTAAGGATGACACCTTCTCTAGTTATTGTTGATTTTTTATTTGTTGCCACATACAAATATACTTTATTAGTAACTATATTTATTATCTCTATTCATATATTTTTTTCTATACTCATTGGATCCTCTAAGTTTCATCTATTCCATGTTCCATGTTGTCAATCTCATTACAACTTGTAAATCCTCCATGTTTTATTATGTTTTCTGTCTCAACACTGTTGTGTCGCTCACTGTAAAAATCCTCTGGTGCAACAGGTAGTGATTCAATTACTATTGTTGCTATTATTATTATTGTTATTATTATTATTATAAATAATAATAATTAGTTGTTAATGATAATAATAATAACAATATTCAAACTAGCTGATCATAGAACACAAAAATATATAAAAGTGTTTGACAGGTGATTTATGGGAGGTGTTATCAGTTATGTGGCGTTATCAGACACAGTGCAGAGCTCTCTGTCGCCTCCTACAGGTCGGCCTGCTGGTTGTCCTGAGGCTCTGTGTTGCTGTCTGCTGCAGCTGAAGCTTGAGTGATGGAGCTCTGAGACGTGCAGCCCAGAGCCGACACCGGCCAGTCCCGACCCGAGCTGCTGGAGGCTGGACACACAGAGGAAGAGGAAGAGGAGGAGGAGCAAGAGGAGGAAGAGGAGGGTTGACATGTTCTTTTACTGATGTAAGGGAACAGATAATTAAATGACCAGAACCAGAGAACGTACTGTAAGAAAAAGAGACATTTCTGTGCGGTGGGGGTTGGATACAATTCAGATAAATGAATTAATTATATTAATAGTTTTAAATGTCTTTATATATCAGATTGACTCTGTGTGCTGTTGTATTGTGAGCTCCACTGTGAAAACCAAGATGTTTTGGTTTTCTACCATAATAATAATTATTATTATTTAAAATAATAATTTAAAAAATAAATTCAATTGAATTTGAAAATTAATTCACTGGATTTAATAATTATAATTATCATTAAAAATGATACCATCACAATAATAATAATAATTATTATATGTTATTATGATCAAGGTTAAACTCAGTGAACTGAAGAGAGACCGGTGAAGATAATACAGGCCTTCAGTGTGACATCTGCACCGATCAGTTCAGACATGTTCAGACAGGTCTCACAGATTCCTGACACAACACTAGACCTGAACAGGAAGTCTTTAGACTGTGAGAGGAAACCTGGGGAGGCATGCAGAGGACTGTGTGTGACTCACCTGAGCGGCTGCACTGGGCAGTCTTAGGACTGTGGGGGTGATGAAGTGGAGCGTTGTGCCCCACCTCTGGAGAAGTCGTGGGTTTGTATGACGGGGGGCATTTGGCTTTGTCTTTAATCTTGCACAAGCCGGCCGTCACTGTAGCACATGAACAGTTCAACATGTGAGGAAGGTTCACGACAACCAGCACAAACAACAACAACTGAACCTTACCTTGACATTTCCAACTGTCAGCCAAAATACACTGGATGACATTCGTTGTCATGAATCATGTTCAACAGCAACTATGAGCCTCAACAGGTGTGAAATCACTTCTTCATATTTCACATCGACCTTCAGACGTTTGTTCTCAGTTCAAGGCTCAAAGAATTTCTGCACCAACACATGTGGACTAAAGCTGCTGGGAGCTGACAGAACAACACTGCTGCTCCCTGCAGCTACATGAGTAAAATGTTTAAAAGAAGAACTGACTGTAGAAGCTGCTCACACATAAGAGCTCTGCTACTGTCACGTGTGCCTTATTTCATCCATTTTATTTTATGTGTTTTGTGAACCTTGATTATTCTCTTCATATATTTTCTAATTCACTGTCTGTGTGTGTGGTCCTCTATGTGTTACATGGTGCTGCAAAAGAAAGTTTTAATTGCACTAAACTAAATGTTTCCTGGTTAAATAAAGTTGAATATTTCCATTCTTAATAGAGCAATAAAGTCTGGTGAGGTCAGTCACATTTGTGGTTTTAAAACATCAATTAATAATTCAGGAACAAACACATGAGACATTTAGAAACATTAACTTTACCGTCTTTGGTAGAGATTGTAGGTAGTTTAGTTTCCGTGGTTCTGATGGCTGGGGGGTTCAGGCGACCTCTTCTTGCCGTTGATATAAACTGTAACTTTACATCAGTATAAAAGATGGCTGGGCTCTTCTTTGTCATACCTGAATGACACCGTCCCCCTCAGGCTGGTTGTGGTGTTTCATGTACTGCAGGCCAGTGCGCCGTTGGCTGGCTGAGGTCACTGTGTGACTCCCGCCGCAGCTCCTCGACACGGCCAGGTGACTGTAGTCTGGCGGTTTTCTTTTTTCTAAATCTGGAACTGTTGATCTAAAGTTTCAGAGCCTCAGATTTGTTCAAGGTCACTACGAGGGACCTACGAGATTTTTTGTTTTGCATCCCAAAAAAGATTTTAGATTAATATGTTAAAAAAAATCTTTTTACACACAACCTCCACCTCTTACTGCTTATCAGTTCATCCTTGAGTCCTAGTGAATGTTTGTGCCAAATTTGAAGAACTGAAATATTTTGTCCACAAGAATAGGACTGACAGATGGACGGACAGACGGACAACCCAAAAACAATACGCCTCTGGCCCTGGCTGAGGCATTAAAATATAAGACACAGGAAATGAAAATTATGAAATAACTTTTCCTCTGGACACATAACGAGTAGAAATCTAAATACATGAATTATGATAGTCACTGTTATTTGTGTTGACTCACGGTCCGGGGGTCTGCTTGACAACAGGTCGGTCACAGGAGAGGCAGTGAAATCTGTCCACGAGCTGTCTGGAACAGAAAGACACACAAAGAAACGTCACTATATTAGGTTCTTCATTTTCACAGTATGAAACAACCATGTGCAGGTGTGAGGTGAATACAGCAGGGCTGACTACCGATATTGAAAAACTTTACTGTTGATTAATGAGCGTGACTTCAACACCTACTTTCTGATACCAGCAGCATCGTCGTTCTCTGGAGCTCCCTGAGACTGCAGCTTCTCATGAATATTCTTCCTGCAGTCTTCCAGCTGCTTCTTCACAGAGTCCAACTCCATCCTGACCAGCTGTGGTGAGATCACAAGTCAAATACCACGTGGTTAATCAGATCAACCTTTCAAAAGCAGTATGAGTCAAACCCCTGCATCTGTCACTGGGACGTTACAGTCAAAAAGTCAAAACATGAGTAAATGGCTGACAGTGTTAGTGTTTGAACAGCTCTCTCCGTACCTTACACTCGCGCCTGAATTCAATAATATGAAGCATTAATTAAGAGGAGAGGAAAGAAGGAAAAACTTATTTCTGGTGCACAGAGTTCAGATACTTTCTCAGATTTTCCTCTTTCTGTCTTTTGTCTAAATGAGACGTTGTTCAATGTTTTGTGACTTTTGAAGTTAAAAGCATTGAACAACAAGTATGTATGGATACATCCATGCAGGTGCATCCCAGCCAGGTTCATCACTTTTTTGTGTCCCCTGGAAACACTTCCACTGTTGTCTGTGCTACTTGCAACACATTTCTATATTTGGTTGTGTTGTGTGTATTTGCAGCACATGTGATGTCAAATTGATAAACATCTTTTCTGAATATGTTTGTGTTTTGTCTATTAGTATGTGGTTTCTTAGGCTGCAGTGCGTTGATCTCTAAGGGCCACCGAAGAAGAGAGGGACAAAGAAAAGAGCAACATGAAACATGCAGTAAGTGTTTTTCTTTACCTCTATGTGCTTCTGTTTCTGTGTGTTGTCCTCGTGCAGACACCTGGTTGTTTCATGCAGTTTTTCACACTCGGCTTGAAGCTGCAGGATCACCTTCTGCACATCGTTCACCAGCTCCACGCTCTGAGAAACACACACATGTGCATGTTTGGGTCTGACTAGATCAACAACCCCTGAATTCACAAACTCAAAAAAAGCAAAAGCAAAAGCAAAAGAAAAAAGTGAAGACATGCTAATGACCGATCCACTGGTTTCTGTTCATTAAATAGATTTTTGTGTTTTGTGAGACTGACAATTATCTATTAAGAATAATTCCTGGTAATATAATCAATCAGTTAATATGACCTGGACCCATGTATGGATTACTGAACAGTGAAGTGACTGTTAATATTTCTGGTCTGAAAGTCACAGAGCTCAGTTAAAAGATAAAGGCAGACAAAGCTATTTTCTGTTTCATTTTTCTGCCATCGTTTTGGTTTCTCTGTTTGCATGTGTCTTTTCCCTCCTAAATTTTAAAGACCCAACTGCAGCATTTAATGTCGTACTCTGGTTGGCTGTTTTGTAGATGTGGGGCGTAGCAGCATTCAGTCACATGGTGAGAACTTGCTGACGCTGTCTTTAGTCACCAAACCTAAGAATCAGCCATCATCTGCTGTGTCTCACTGTGTGATGCAGAATCACAGTTTTTTGTGACCAAAGAGCAGATCTGAGCACATTTCTCTGGAATGTCAATGTTCGCCTCAAGCAGCCCTGAATCACACAGTGTAAAGGCCTAAATGCTGAAGAGTCTTTGTAGTTTCAGCTGAACGTATGAATGCACTTTTGTAAACAAAGGGGGAACATTAAAACTATACTCAGAGAGGAGCAGGGCTGAGGTCTGAACCGCTGTAATGAACTACTGAACAGTCATGAAGCCTGTCATGAGCAGGCAGGATTACTACATTTCCCTCTTCATGGGAAGTCTACAAACAGCTTTTGGATCTCACCTTGTGGTTTTCTCCCTCATTGAGCAGAGCTGACTGCATGACGTCCCAGGTCACACACCGACTCAGCTCCTCTGGGTCTGGATACTTCTGATATGTGTCCATTAGAGATCCCTGTCACCGTGAGAAACACACGAGGTGACAAGAATGAATTGTAGGAAAACTGCGCCAAGAAATAATTTCAGTGTGAGCGGTACAAAGTGAAGCTGACGTTCCTCCCACACACACACACACTCACCACTGCTTCCTCCAGGGCGTCCACACGGTGGCAGCACGTCTCCACTGCAGTGATTGTCTCTGCCTCAGCACCGACCGCCTACACACAGGAGATCTGTTTCAATATTCAAAACCCTCTTATTTGGTTGTCATGCTCGATTCGAAAATCATGACAACTAAATACATTATAATGTGTCTTTTTCTAGATTTACATGATCGTGAAATGCAGGAAAAAGAATTCACTACTTTGGGGGATTTTGTTTGTTTTTACTTCTGTGTTCACAACTTTTTGGCCTTCTGTCTATTCTAAAAGGAATGACCATCCATATCTGCACGTTAAAGCATTTGTGGATTAAAAAACAGTAGCAACAGCAGCATTTTAAATAATTGAACCCAGGGCTGAAAAGAGTAGTTGATTAATCAATTAGTCTATTGGCAGGAAATTAATCTGCAACTATTTGATAATCAATTCATTGTTTTAGTCATTTTTCAAGCTGAACTGGTTCCAGCTTCTCAGATGTTTTGACGATAAATTCAGTGTCTTTGGGATTCAAACTGTTGGTTGGACAGTGATTCAGAGTAGAACCGATTTTAGCGGCCGATATTGGCCTGTGACAGATATATCCGTATCAGCGCATATATTCTCCGATATGTGCTGATATGAATACTTTTATTAAGAAGCAACAATTCAGTGGAAATGCTCAGGTCAAGTCAAGTTATATAGGCAGCATTTTATGTATGTATGTATGTATGTATGTATGTTTTTTATTTATAGTTATTTATTTTCATAGTTGTTTTATTTAATTCCCAGTGAAGTTTACCATTTCAGTGCACTGCTGTCAATGTCACTGATGTCTTGCTTTCATTACATATCTTTTTCACAAGTGTTTAAGTGTTTATATATATATATATACATATATATATATATATATATATATACACAGAGAGAACTGAGAGAATACAGGCTATGTTTCAGGGTGTCACCTCCACTTTAGCCTCATCCATGTTACAATAACTGCCTGGTAGACAGGGCTTTTTATTTACAGGCCTTTATAGGCAACTAACAATTANCAATTCAGTGGAAATGCTCAGGTCAAGTCAAGTTATATAGGCAGCATTTTATGTATGTATGTATGTATGTATGTTTTTTATTTATAGTTATTTATTTTCATAGTTGTTTTATTTAATTCCCAGTGAAGTTTACCATTTCAGTGCACTGCTGTCAATGTCACTGATGTCTTGCTTTCATTACATATCTTTTTCACAAGTGTTTAAGTGTTTATATATATATATATACATATATATATATAT